TGGTACCACTTTATTTAACATACATACCTGAAAAATGTCTTATTTTGTTACAGATTAGATGCAATTGCTCGAGATGCTGAATTAGTTGATAAGTCAGAAACAGACCTTAGACGACTAGGAGAATTGGTACATAATGGTTGTATTAAAGCTTTAAAGGATAGTTCTTCAGGAACAGAACGAACAGGTAATGTTAAAATGAGAGCGTTTTGAAGAGAAATAAATGAAAGTTTCAAAATATGCTTTTATTGAGTTACGTATTGTATCTTAAATTACCTATTCATCAAAAGATGCTTTACAAAACAAAGGAAGGCCATTCTGGGTAATAGGAAATAGAGAACAAAATTATAGTTTGGAAGGGCAGTAGAATCTATCCTGTAGAGCCCCTAGTATATTCTGGCTGGGATGTAACATCAGGAATTATTGATTGTACTATTTTTTTAGTATAGATGACTGGGGAAAGAAACTGTAAATATATATGTTTAAAATTGGTTTGGGACATAATTATTTCATTGTTTATTTTTTTATTCATCTACCTGAATAAAAATAATCAGATGTACTAAAAAAAATCATGCTGGAACTCTTATTTAGAGACTAACAGTATTAATAGATTGATCCATCTTATGTAATTGATAAAGAAGTTATATGAAATACTTTTTGTGAATCCACATATGCTAGATTATAATCACTAGTATATATGTAGTGAAATTTAAGATTTGCCAGCAATTCCCTCTTTAATAATATAAATAAGGAATACTAATTAATATAAATGATAGTGCATGTTGCTTTGTGTTTTGTAAAATTACATTTTATACTTTATTTGTACTCTTTTTTAAAAAATTAAGGTGGTAGACTTGGAAAAGTAAAGGGTCCAACATTCCGAATATCAGGAGTACAAGTGAATGCCAAGCTAGTCATCGCCCATGAAGAGGAATTAATACCTTTGCACAAATCCATTCCTTCAGATCCAGAAGAAAGAAAGCAGTGAGTTATTTGCTTTTTCCATTGTAAAATTTTTGTTACTCAGTAATTACGATATGAATGTAAAATTTTTATGGTGTTATTGGCTGGTTTCAAACAAAAATTTAAAAAACATGGTATTTTGAAGTTCTAATGACTCGTGTTTTTCAAAATTTATTTTGTAATAAGACACTTTATAAACTTGACAGCAATTATTAACTTTAATGCTAGGTATACTATCCCATGTCATACGAAGGCAGCTCATTTTGATATAGACTGGGGCAAAGAAGATGATTCCAATTTGTTAATTGGTATCTATGAATATGGATATGGAAGCTGGGAAATGATTAAAATGGATCCTGACCTCAGTCTAACACACAAGGTACTTATCTATTTTTTATTCTATTAACCATTAATGTTGAATTTAATTTGTTCTAATTTTTACTTTTAAATTATGTTGAAAATTAACTGGCAATCAGGAAACCAAGGTAATAGCTAGTTGTGTGATTTGGGCTTCTTTACAAGCTACTTTTCTTGAAAGGATTGAATTTAAATGATACCTGAGATTTTGCTTTACCTCTGAAATCATGTTATTAATATTAAGGCATTAGGTGTATTTTTCTTCAGATTATTAGGTTATGAGTAAATCTTTCATTCCATCATTAACCTTTTAAAAATATTTTTTATTGATACATAATGGATGTACATATTTTTAGGTACATGTGATAATTTGGTACATTCAAATACTGTGTAAAGATCAAATCAGGGTAATTGAGATATCCTTCACCTTAAATATTTATCTTTTCTTTACACTAGGAATATTTGAATTAATTCTCTTCCAGCTATTTTGAAATGTATAATAGATTATTAACTATAGTCACCCTCCTTGATCTATCAAACACCAGGTCTTATTTCTTCTATCTAACTGTATATTTGTTCCTATTCATCATTAACTTTATTATTCAAGTAAGCATAAAAAAGAATTCTTAAAATCTTTTATGATTTTTTAAAAAATATCAGTGTTTAGTATTTTTGATTATCTGCTTTGCCTAAAATGGAAAACACTAGAATTTCCTTATTGTTTGTGTTTTGTATTTGTACCTTGTCACTGACAAATGGGAACCTCTAGATAATGGTGCTTTGTCATTTGTTACTGTGAAGAAAAGAACTGAAATAGTTTAGATTCCCACTGTAAGTTTCTTCACAGTGCATGCTTTGGGTTCTCTTCTAGAAGGATGATACTTTGTATTCTAGGAATTTTTGTATGTATTATAGCTATTGAGAGAGGAAAGGAATTTAAAGACAATGTCATGTTTAGTAACGCTAGATGCAGTTTTGTATATTTCATAGAAATTTGTAACCTCACATTTTGTGTTTTCATTTTGAAAGGAAATAACATGAGGGATTTTTGAGGTATATTTATTTAGAATTCATTTCCAGGATAATTAAATCTTTAATTCTGGCTTATTTATTTTGCATTGAGTTGTTTATGTCTTCAGATATTAAGAATTACAACTTGTTAGTGAATTATATTTTGAAAAATGATTAAACATTTTTTGACCATTTCTCATGTTATTTATTAAAGACAACCTGAAAAAATAAATTGCCTTTTCAGATTCTTCCAGACGATCCTGATAAAAAGCCACAAGCAAAACAGTTGCAGACACGTGCAGACTACCTCATCAAATTACTTAGTAAAGATCTTGCAAGAAAAGAAGCTCAGAGACTTTCTGGTGCGGTAAGTTAAAATTTAAATACTTAAGAGCAGTTTACTTTTTAGTAAGATAAATCTACTTTACTTGACCGTGCTAAACATCTGTAGTAAATATGAACTTATATAAGTGTATTTTTCTATAATTTAATAGTTTTATTTGAAAATGTTACCATGTTCAAATTTTACCTTAAATTATTTCAGCATAAATGTCTAAAACTGTTGAATCATATCTTTTAGAAGTGGGATCCTGTTTTTTCTGGTATTTGGAGAAGGAGACTAAAAACTCGTAGAATACTTATTGACAGGTCAAACCTGCATTACTGTTTTATTTAGAGGCATTTTATTTGGAGCTTAAAGAACTGTGTCAAAAGTCATGAGCTTATTTATGAAGGGACTTCAAAAAAGTAGGAAAGAAAACATTAAAAGGGAGATAATTGGAAACTTAATGCAACTTTTTTTTGTTATTGTGTTTTTGGCCTCCATTTCCTGTTGATGAGTTTAAAGCAACTTTTAAAAGTTTACCTACGGGTTGGGGTCGAGCAAGGTGGCTTACGCCTATAATCCTAGCACTTTGGGAGGCTGAGGCTGGAGGATTATTTGAGATCAGGAGTTCGAGACCAGCCTGAGCAAAAGTGAGACCTGTCTCTTCAAAAAAAAAATAGAAAAAATTAGCCGGGTTTGGTGGCATGTGCTTGTAGTGCCAGCTATTTGGGAGGCTGAGGCAGGAGGATCACTTGAGCCCAGGAGTTTGAGGCTGTAATGAGCTATGATGATGCCACCGCACTCCAGCCTGGGTGACAGAGTGAGACTCTGTCTCAGAACAAAAAAAAAAGTTTACGTATGACCACAATGTCAGTAACCACCTATGTACCATTAAACATAATTTCTGATGTTATTTCTGGTACCATTGAATTTAGTTGAAGGTGATACTAATCTAAGAGGGTGAAAAATCCATTTCTAGTTTGTCATGTCACCTTTATTGGCTTTTTAAGATGGGCACAGCTTATTATCAACAGAATAAGGATTGGGTAAGAAAATGTGTTTTGTTAAATTTGATATTTATGAAGTTTTAAAAAGTGAAATCCATAGACTTGATTAAAATAAAAATAATTATTTTAAGGGAGGTTCAAAGAGAAGAAAAGCAAGAGCTAAGAAGAATAAAGCAATGAAGTCTATAAAAATAAAAGAGGAAATAAAGAGTGATTCTTCTCTGCCTTCAGATAAGTCCGATGAAGATGATGATAAGGTAAAAATGTATTTTAGACCAACAACCTTTTCTATGGAAAGGAAACATGGCATGTTTTTATGTACATTATGTTTAAACTAAGGCCTGAAATTTTACTTTCAGGTACTGAAGTTTTTTTATTTTTACTTTTTTATGGTTGATAACATAGTCTCATTTATAGAATAGAATTCTGCCTATCCACTAGATACTATATATCACTAGAGGCATAGATCAAAGGTCCTTCCTTTTCAAACATTTGCCAATTAAATGAGCCTTTGTCTCCTTGAATTTTATTATGAATTTGAATGGGACTACCTTACCTTAGAGTTTATAGGAAGGTAAACATTGCATGTATCATTAATTAGGGAGATTCTGGGTTATCACTTTCAGAATCCACATACATGCAATCTATAGACATGTGAAGAAAAATTAGTCTATGTCAAAATTTGGTTAGTAATACATTGGCCATACTTGCACTTTCTAGGATGAAATCACTTCTGTGAAACATCCAAATAAAAAAATTAAAACAGAAAGAGACAGTGAAGAAAAACCTGAGCCAGATGTTTGTATAAAGAAGGAACCAGAAGAAAAGAGGGAAGCAAAAGAAAAGGAGAATAAAAAAGAACTTAAAAGGGAGATAAAAGAAAAAGAGGATAAGAAAGATATAAAGGAAAAAGATTTTAAAGAAAAAAGAGAAAACAAAGTAAAAGAAGCTATGCAGAAAGAAAAAGACATAAAGGAAGAAAAGGTATGCAAATCATAATGTAAAATTTAGAAACTAAAATAGCGTATTTACATTTTAGGAGACTAAATTGCGTATCAGCCCATATTAGTCTCAGTAACTGAGTTCTTTAAAAAGTTTGTGCGGGTATGTAGTAGAGGAGAAAAAACAGGTTTGAACACTTTTTTAAGGGCCTTAACTATAGGGTAACATAACAGAGTAGCTTTATTTTTGTATTTTTGGTTTTCCCAAATAAAATTGGGGGGAAAAAGCAAATTCAAATAGATAAGAATATTCACTGAAAACAAGCACTTATAGAATAAAATGAGATAGTAATTGTTTTCTGGAAGTGTTAATCATTTTGCCTTTGTTGTTGGGTTTTTGTTCTATTTCCTTGTTCTTCAGTTGAGCGAATCCAAGTCTGATAGTAAGGAAAGATCTAAGAAGTCTTTAATGTCAGATGCTCCAGTTCATATCACTGCAAGTAGTGAACCAGTTCCCATATCTGAAGAATCTGAAGAGTTGGATCAGAAGACATTCAGTATTGTAAGCTGTAGACTTTCTGATCATTAGTATTAATTAAAATGTTTAAATTATAATTTTATCATTTAAAGCTTTTAATTTAGAAAGGTATTTCAATTTGATACTACTGCCA